ATCATCATCCTCATCAACAACAACTTCAACAACCTCTTCCTTATCGGGCATCTCAATATGATTATCGATCATCTTATCGTTCCTCAAGACCGTGATGGCGTTCAAGTGCTCGGGTTGGCTCGGGAGTTTGTCTTTCATCTTGCCTATTTGAATCTCCCCGATGGAGCTCCCGAGTTGCCCAACTTGAGTCTCGAGGCATTTAAGAGAGGCTTGAATCGAGGGCACTCCTTTGACGGTATCGTGCAACGTGGAGACGGTTGAGGCCAACGATTGAAGACACTTCTCTAAGCTTTCAATCCGAGTCTCCGAGGATTCCCCATTAGCAATTCTTTCGGGCTCGGGTGGAGGCGGCAAAGGTTGCCTCGGAATGAAGCCTCCACGCCCTTGTGGATATCCTTGAAACTCGGGCCTCGGTTGATAGCCTTGGAATTCGGGCCTCGGTTGGAACGGTGGTCGGTTGTTCGGTTGAGCATATTGTTGAGGTTGAGAGTAAGCTTGTTGTGGTGCCGGTTGAGGTGGGTAGGTGGCTTTCGGGTCCTTCCAAGAAAAGTTAGGGTGGTTTCGCCACCCGGAATTATAAGTGTTCGAGTACGGATCATTTTGGACCCGGGGGGCGTACCCTTGGATAGCTTTGATGTCGTAGGGGACTCCTTCAAGATTTGGATCGTAGGCCGGCATCATATAATTCGGGCACGCATGTCCTTCGTGGCCGGCCTCTCCACAACAACCGCACACCTCGGCCATCACTACTTGGGTCGACTTTGAATCCCTTAGCCGGAGTTGTTTGAGCTCTTCTTCTAACGAGGCAAGCTTAGCAAGAACGGCATCGTTCGAGGACCCCGTTGATGGTGTACCCTCATTCACGGGGGCCCTCTTACGAACGCTCTTCCTTTGCGAATTTTCGCTCAACATCTCGTACAAATTGTAGATTTCCTCCTCCGTATGGCTCCCTAAGTCTCCACCGGCCGCATGATCGACCATGTATTGGAGGGTTTGGTGGAGACCGTCATAGAAAAATTGATTGAGAACCCCGAGGCAAAAGTGATGATGGGGGCATTGAAGATGATACCCCTTGAACCGCTCCCATGCCTCGTGGAAGGTCTCACCGATATTTTGGCTAAAGCTAGCCATTTGAGTCCGGAGGTCGGTGGTCTTTTGATGAGAGTAGTACTTGCTCATTGTTTGTCCCATTTTTGTTGTGTTTTTCGTTGTCTTTTTGCCGTTCTTTTTCCCC